TAAAGGAGTCCCGTGGTGGACACCGGAACTATCCATTCTTCGGAAAAGAGTCCTAGCTTTGAGAAAGCGATACCAAAAATGTACTCATGATGAAGAGCTGAGGGCTCATTACAAACAGATTTACAAAAACGATCTCGCTTTCTATAAAAGAAAGCTTATGAAGGCCAAAAGAACAACTTGGAAATCATATCTGGAACGATTAAGTCCAAGTACTCCGTTTGGGGTACATTATGATATGGCAAAGGGGCATATGCAAACCCCTCTTCAATTAAAGGCATTACGAAAACCTGATCAAACTAAGACCACTACCATAGAAGAAACAGTAAACTTGTTCATGGACTATCATTTTCCTAAAGACATAACTAGCGAAGACACGGAGTATCGTATACAAATTCGAAATAAATTAAAGAATCATTATAGTGCATTGAATGATGTACCTTTTACGGCGCAAGAAGTGGAGCATGCAATTAAATCACTAAATCCCGGCAAGGCACCTGGTATAGATAATATACCAAAAGAAATCATAGCAAAAGTTTACTACGCTAATTCGAAGCTCCAAACAGTGCTACTTAACGAACTCTTCCGCCGCGGTTCTTTGCCCGATTGCTGGAAGACAGCAAAATTAGTATTATTTTCAAAAGAAAGGAAAAACGGTGAACTACCCGATGCTTATCGTCTCATCTGCCTGCTTAATGCATGGAGCAAAGTATATGATAAACTCATTACTAATAGACTGACATTCTTTTTAGTCTCAAATACAAAATTAAGTGAACAACAATATGGCTTTACGGCGGGTAAATGTTCCTCGGATGCAATTAAAGATATAATAACCCACGTAGAAGAAAACCGACGGAACTATAATTATACAAACGTCATCTCATTAGATATTAAAAGTGCATTTAATAATATTTGGTGGCCATTTCTCTTACAAGAATTACGCAACCTGGGCTGCCCTCATAACATCTATAAAGTAATAGAAAGTCTATTGGAGAATAGGCGCATCATTTATGAAATAAATAATGTTCAATATTCTCAAAAGCAAGAAAAAGGATGTGTCCAGGGTTCTAACTCTGGACCTCTGTTCTGGAACATAGTGATGAACACCGCATTAAGAATCGATTTTGGAGATGAAATTCATATCCAAGCTTATGCGGATGATGTCTTATTATTAGTTACTGGATCAACGCATATGCAAATTCAAATAAGGGCTAAACTGGCATTACAAAAATTATCTGAATGGCATTCCAATGTAAACTTCAATTTTCGCCAGAAAAGCCAGTGTTTGTTGCAATCAAGAAACGAGGTGCTGCATATTCGGCACAAACAATAAAGATGAATGAACATACTATCAAGAGACAAAAATCAATTCTATATCTTGCAGTAGTAATAGATGAATGCCTCACTTGGCTACCGCATCTGGACTTTATCAAATCCAAAGTTTGCAAACTAATGAACAATTTATTAAGATTACCTGGATTGCCGAAACCAGTTCTAAAAGAACTATATAAAAGAGCAATTGAACGCACAATAGTGTATGCGTGTCCAGCATGGTGGCACCCTCCTACGGTTAAGATGAGAAATAAAACAAACTCTATACGACGTATAGCATTTTTAGCTATGACTAAAAGCTACAAGACTGCTCCTACCGCAGCCCTCCAAGTAATTGCTGGAATTCTTCCACTTGATCTTAAACTAGATATGGAAAGTGTTATTCAACGAACCAAACGAAGTTGGTCTGACTTCATACTTGAAGATTTAGAGTTTACACGAGAACAAATAGAATTTCCAGTTCATAAATGGCATTCTCATCCTGCCCAAATTCAAGTCTTTGGTTGGGATAATAAGTCCCCAATAAATCATGGATTAGAAATTTACACTAATGATTCCAAGAACGATGATGGTACTGGAGCTGGCTTTTGCTCCTTTTGGCATGGAGTCTGTCAAGAACAATTTAAGTATCAATTGTACAAGAACTGCTCAGTTTATCAAGCCGAAACTCAAGCACTAAAATCGTCATTACTATGGCTTAAAACACATCACGGACCTGCGCATATATACTCGGACAGCCAAGCCGTTCTAAAGTCTGTAGGTAAATTTGATATCTATAATAAGAATATTATTGAGATAAAGAAATTATTATCATTTACAAACGCAAAACTTCACTGGATACGTGGACATCAAGGATCTACTGGTAACGAAAAGGCTGATGAATTAGCCAAACAAGGGATCTACTCCACCAATGAGCTACATCGTCAGGATGGCCAAGATCAAAGTTTCAACTATATGGCAAAGAAATTGGAATAATGAAGATACAGGACGCCAATATATATGCTCTTACCAAAGGTGTCGGGAAAACGACATCTCAGTGATTTCTTCCTCAATCAAATTATTACCAATCACGGAGCCTTTCCGGTCTACATAAATAGATTCAAGCTTAAAGAAACGACTTCTAAATGTCAATGCGGATACGAATCTGCAGATGCTCTTCATATGATCATAGAACGTCCAAGCGTCTCAACCAAACGACGAGAAGTTTTCAACCAAACTTTGGAAACTCTGCAACGATAAGTAATGAACTAGTACAAGAGACGTTCTCTTCTGGCAACATTTATGGAATACATTTATCATAATGAGTCAGAATTGTATTTGTAAATTGTATCTTTCCTTTGAAATATTACTATTTTCATTTAATGTATTTCTTAATTCAATTAATGATGTAACATTCCTATTTTATTCATTGTGACGATCAATTCTAGAATGTATATTTAAATATTTAATATTTGTCCGAATAATTTCTTATAGTAAATATTGTATTATGATTCAATATACTCTGTAATGTAATCTTAAATAAAGATGTTGGCGAGGCCAACACATCTCTTAGTCAGAGGACTTCAAAATTCATACTAGGTATTTTAAACTTATGATTTGGCTATATTATATTCATTGAGGTTTTGCTTTAAATAGAAAAATTTCTTAGCCTATGGCTCTGGTGATACCTCTGCTTAAGAGGTGCGGACCAGATACTCCATTTTCATGTTGTAATTTTAATAGCTAGAAGTGTACTTTATTTTTAGAAAATGGAAAAATTTTTACGTACTTATAATACATAAATGTTGCAATTTACGAATAAAAAATAGTGTTCGGTATATGTCCTCCAGTGTTGTTTTACAGTATCGTATTCTATCGATGAAATTCGTAATCACTTTCTCACATATCTGCGCATCGATGTGACTGATGACAGGTTCAATTTCGTCTTTTATATCTTTCATTTTCACTCCTAAGGGAAAGCCAAAAAATCTTTCAAAAATGGTGATTTGGGATTTTGGCATTTTCAAATTCTCTACACTTTTAGCTTTCCAAAAATACCATACGTTAATTTCTATGAAAATTAGAACTGTAAAAAAATCTAGTTTTAATTTATCACCGAACACTTTGATCAATGAGGATTTTTACATGAAAATGAGTTTTTCTCCGAATGTGATTTTTTATACTCGATGTACCTTTTCTCAGGAACAGGTATGTAATTTTCATGGCTTATTTATTATGTTTTGTAATATTTACTGAAATGAGCTTTTTATAATAACTATGAAAAAAAATCACAATTTTTTTTGGGGGGCGGAGTGAGAAAAGTGCTAAATTTTACTATGCTTAATACAATATTCTATAAATTATTCTAAAACTCAAAATATTACGAAAGCTAATTTTAGTATCATCAGATATTGATGATAGATATATGCACCAGAGCCATAGGTCTAAAACTCAAAATATTACAAAAGCTAATTTTAGTATCATCAGCTACTTTAATTACACAACTTATTTATTATGTTTTGTAATATTTATATTTACTGAAATGAGCTTTTTATAATAACTATGAAAAAAAATCACAATTTTTTTTGGGGGGGCGGAGTGAGAAAAGTGCTAAATTTTACTATGCTTAATACAATATTCTATAAATTATTCTAAAACTCAAAATATTACGAAAGCTAATTTTAGTATCATCAGATATTGATGATAGATATATGCACCAGAGCCATAGGTCTAAAACTCAAAATATTACAAAAGCTAATTTTAGTATCATCAGCTACTTTAATTACACAACAAATTTCAAACGTGTGTCTACAGCAAAATTTTGAGAAAAGGTACATCAAAACTGGCCAATTTAACATTGTCGGTATAGGGGGATCCGACTCCCCGATTTCGGATTCTTTGAGACTTACAATAACACTGTCATGCGCAATAACAATGTTTTCAAAAAAACGGGTGGATCGAGATCACGGCGCTTTAATGTCATCAGTCAAGCGAATGTCCTCAAATTTCTTTACCAATCTGCGATTTCTTGTTCCATTAGGTGCATTTTCACGTCAAAAGATTGCATGACGTTCCTAACAAATCAGTTTGTAACACTCAACATTCTTGTAATGAGGTTTCACAATCAAAAACTCGCTATTCCTTTGCCTATCAGCCTATCAGCGGCTGCGAGGTAAAAGTTGCTGAACACTGGTAGTTCGATCAGAAGTTCAAATCTCGGCGAACGTGTCAACTGCATGGGCGTTTTCGTGGTTTTCCCATGTGTAACGTGTATACGATCCAGTTTCCCTTAAAAAGTCCTCCCCGAAGACATCCTTTCCCTTAGGAACTAGTATACTTTGCCGTAACCCAACAAACAAAACCAACCCTTGCGCTCCGCTCCAGGTCGACTAATTTGTAAAACGAATTGACAGTGATAAAAAGCCAGTCTTGCCAGGTCAAATCAAACTCAGCATTCTTAAATAGTAATTATTGCATGTTTGTAAGTATGTAAAAATATTTTCCATTTTCTGAAAATAAAGAAATTTGTAAGCATATTAAATGCTTATGTTCAGATTCCTTATATTAAAAAATTTTCATTTTTAATAAGCTTGATGTCAGAGAGAAGTTAAAGAATGCAGACTTAATTTAAAAAATAACAAGAAACATATCTTGCAGTAATTCAAAACAAATACTTCAGCCGATTATTTTACCTGCCACTGATCGAGTTGTTGGGACAACTCAACTTTCTGTTGTACTGCTTCCATTAGTTGACTATTGATATGCATCAATTCAATACGAGTTTTAGCGAGTTCTATCTCGACGATGTTTTTCCTAAAAAGGAAAAGAAATGCACTTAGTAAAAACAAAAAATCACAAGCATTTCAATTTACATCATATTACAAAAAGCAAGGAGATTACGATAGAGGTATAATATGAGACAGTAAAATTTTGAATCTGTTGCAAAATAATTCTAATGTGATTAGCACATGACCTCCAGCCAATATCAGCAAGGAGTTTTCAGTGAGACAGCACATACGATTGGGTCATTTTATAAGGTCTTTTCTCCATCCCTTATAACACCAGCCGACAGTAAAAGCAGTGTTGATAATAAAGAAGGTAAGGTGCACTTAACTTGCAAGAATTTAAACGAGTTATTAAAAAAGACACAATAACTGTATAATTTTGCAAGGGAGATTAACCCAGATGAAGAAACAAAGGGACACTTAGTGAGAGGTATTCAAAAACTCTGCACTCCTTACCGCGAAACTTTTAGAGTTGCGTCAGTCATTGTCCCGAGCAAAAATCACCAGCCTTTTAAAAAAGTAACTGCATCCCGCATTTATTAAACAGTAATAAAAAACCGTTCAATTAAGACCGTTTTTCGTTTGTTTAATTACAACAATATTTATGTTTGTTTAAATTATATGCGTACTTTCTTAATCTGAGCTATACCGAAGGCAAGTTTCGTACAGAAAGTTAACACTGCGGAACGCAATTTTGTCGTCCGCGCTATGTATAAACGACTTAATCCTCGCGTTTGGGAAGGATTTACTATATGTTAAAAATCTCATGCAGCAAATCAAGAGCCACATTTGTAATATGTGGGCGGAATGCATCTTACATAAGCCACTGAATGCGTAAAGGAAGACCTGTTGCTGTTGAATCTTCTCGGAGCCAGTGTTTCCAGATGCAGCCATAATCTGCGAATGGTCTGTTTGCAAGGAAAACATTTTGTAGCAATGTGTACTTGAAAACGTCGTTTTGTCACCACCAGTCGTTTACTTTTCCAAAAATCATTACTACACTCACTTTCCGTTCGACGCTCAACACAAACGCGGAAATCAAGAACAACATTTGCAGTGTGTGAATTTACTCCGTCTTGCATGAGGTATAGAGAGTATATAGCCAAACCTTTTGCCATTTTCAAATATGAGGATATTTGATAGATGTCGTCTATTCTTCATGAAAACGTCTTTGTTTCGCTACCAAACTAAAATTGGTAACAAACAAACTTGTAAAAAAGTTGGTAACAAATTTGTAAAAAAGTTGGTAATAAACAAATTTGTAACGTTTTCTAAAAAACGATACAAATTTCACATTCTGTTAGACCCATTTTACAAAAATCTGTTTCGCGGTCAATCAGACTCTTATACTGACGTCTCCTGGTATAAGTGGCTTAGCTAGAGTTTTTGCCCCCTGGGAAGGTTCATTTTCCGCCCGTCTCAATGCCCATCAATGAACCAAATCTAGAAAATGTCCGAACTACATGCAAAGAAATAAATAAAAGTTCCATGTTAATTTTTTAAACAAAACTTTAATTCGAACATATAAAGTGCTTTTTGTTGTTGTTGTTGTTTGTTCTAATTAGCTAGACAGTACAGTACTCGTCAAATACGAGATGTACATTTTTAGGTCTTATGTGCTTCTTAACCGGATTGTATCTAGAAAAGCTTTTCTCACAGTAATTAATGTACTCGTAGCAACTTGAGGAAAATTCGAAGTAGAACTCAATACCTCGAACTTCGTTTTGGAGTTCAAAGCGACTGCCTTTTTTTGTTTCTTCTTCCCAAGCAAAAACGGAAACAGGATTTTGTAGTATTTCTCTCTCCTCCTCCTTTTACTTACTTTATGCTACCTAAAAAAATGAGACTCTCTAAAGCTCTGAAGCAGCCGTTGTGTCTATTCAAGCACTTGCAGGCTATAACGATCTTCTGAGTTTCTTTAAAACAAAATCCCTTTGATCTATTTGTAAGACTATATGTTAATTAACCAATTATTATGATTTGAAACTTTACAGTAACATTTGCTTTCCGCAGCCCTCAGCAGAAGGCAAATTAGTTGTTGAGCATTTAAGTGAGTTTGAATGTTTTAGAGTTAGAGCTTCTGGCAGCGTTTCGCCAGCTTTGCCAATGCTTATTTCTTTAGCCATTTTGCTAGCCGACGTAAAAAGCACGCCGATAATTACTTGAACCAGCATAATTAAATCACTCACTTTAGTCTCCGATTGGGAGATATTTAAATATAAATTTCAGTTTATGTTTATGTAGTGCCTTCTGTTAAATTTCAAAATTTGCTAAGAAGGTTATTTTGACCTTCGTAAGACTTACTGATATTTGATTGACATTTTGATTCAGACTGGAGCGATAACTCGCTTCTCGGTCTAGTAGGATCTGAAGAACATTGAGTTAAATTGCTATACAAGTAGAACCCTGCATATTTAACAAAGAGAAAATCGACTTTAAGCCCCATAAAAACTTTATTTACATATTTAATACAACATTTAACAGTAAAAGTGTATTAAACGTATGCTTTCAGAATTACTAGCCTTAAAGTAATTAACTGCACTACACATTCATAAAAATCAAAATTTATTCCAAAGAGTCAAGATGCAAGGATGCCCGCTGAACAGTTGGCAGCATGACTTCGTTAACTCAGTTGCAGCCATGGGCATGAGCAATTTTTGGACAGAAATCGCTTTGTTGGCAATGAAGAATACCGAAAAACGGTAACTGCATTTTTCAATGATCTGGCGGCAGAAGTGCACGAGAGGGTATACAAAAATCTGTTTTCCAGTACGCTCAGACGTGGAACAACAGTCTAACATTTAAAGAACTACAATAGCCTCAAATTCAAATTGCGTGCAGACTCGAATGCACGATCTGAAAACAGCTGGCCATGCCAGTACTTTCTCACAGCAATAATAATATCGCAAAGTAAAAAAAAAAAAATCAAATTTACACTTATTTTCTATCTGAAATCTATTTGGTACCTGCAAGACATCTTTGTCGGTTACGCAGTTTTTAGACAATAAATATTAAATTTTCAGACTGGCATTTATATAAAAAAGTCTAGAATGTTTAATTACTCTTCCAATAACTTATTAACTTAAACTAAAAATAAACGAACTATGAAAACTTCCTAAATTTTCAGAGAAAATTTACAAGTGAGACAAAAGAATAAATAATTACAACCTAGTCTCTCTCTCTTATTTATTAAATTTTTCTTCAAGGTACATATTCTTCAAGGTACATAAAAATACATATATTTGTATGTAAATGATTATAAACTTCTTTACTATAGCTTGATACTGGATGGCATTTCGATTCTGATAAAGCCTGAAAGTCTTTAAAGAGAAATTACTAGAAATTAATGTTCATTACAGATTTTAGATGTTCATCGGTCAATCGAAGTCTATTCTTATTAATTTTCAATTACAAAAATACGATTAAAGTTGTTCGCATATAAATATAGTATTCCTAAACAAAAATATTATTTTTAGGTCAAAAATTCGTAACTGGACTTTTATTTTCCGACTAGTAGGAACAAAGCTTAATAAAATTTGTAGCTCCAAATTTTTTAATTAGATTTAATCCACTTTTAAATAATTAGCTGCACTTAAGAGATCTTTTGGTGCTTTATTTAGGTTCGTTTTAATGGTAATGAAAATAATGCAAATTCGGACCTCAAATAACTAATATTTTGAAATCTTTGCAACAAATACATAATTGAACTGTATTCACAAGCTGCATAAATGATTCAAGGGCAGCGAGTTTGAAATTTGGTCTAACATATAGCTCAGAATAAAAGGATTTGATTCAACTAAACGCTTTTGCTGTTTGTTATCAAACGAGTATTATATTGTAAACATGATACATGCATGCTACATTAGTGCTTCTAATTTCAATATAATTTATAATTTAATTATAACATAATAGCGAATAAGGTTGAAATGCTGGGAAGTTAACAATGTAGGTATCAAACAGCAAGAATTTTTTTTTTTTTTTTTTTTTTTTTTTTTTTTTTTTTAATACGGTAGCAATCTGGAAAAAAAAAGGGGGGGGGAGAGAGAGAGAAACGTATAAGTTGGACAGTTTCTGCAATAGACAAAATTCAAAATCGCATCCTTTTGCATATTATTCAATTTACAAACGCGGAATTACTCATACAGCACTCTGGCTATCGTAAGATTACTACTAGCCTGATTCCAATATAATAAAAAGAATCGATATTATTACAACATGTGATTAAAAATATGATGAATGATTGATTTCATGATTTATTTCCAGGACAGATCCTTCCACATTATGCAATAATACAGCTTATTGTTTTTCAAAATAAATATTAGCTTCCTACGGTTATGCACTCACTTCTCAAAACGCAAGTAGAAGTCTCGCATACTTTGGGTGAAGGTAGCTTGTGAGATGCGGTTGAGTTCAGCGTTCACATTACGCTGGATATCGGCAATGCCCGAAATCACATTACGCTGAATGTCGTCACTTCCGAAAACCGTTTACATTGCTTTCGATATCAGCAGTGTCCAAATACCGTTCACATTGCGTTGGATGTTGACAATGTCCAAAAACCGTTCACACTGCAATGGATATCAGTAGTGGCCGAATACCATTCACATTGCGTTGGATGTCGATAATGTCCAGAAACTATTTACTTTGTGTTAGATGTCGGCAATGTCCGAAAAACGCTTATATTGAGTTGGATGTTCAGCAGTGTTTGAATATCCATATGGCTCTACAAACGATGATTGACTGACTGACCTCACAGTCAACAAGTAGCAACAACCACATGCCAGCAATTCATTTACCTTATTTATTGATAACAGATTATAGAATGTGACATAGAGATAAGAAATATGCAAACTGCACTGACAAGATAATGCCAATCGAGTGGATTGTTGCAAACATTTGATTCGTAATATGGCAGTAAAGCTAGTCCTTCTAACGTAATAAAGCGAGACAAAAATGTAATGTGATCTTAAAATATAAATACAATAAAAATAAGAGAGGAACCTGGCAACAGCTTGATCTCGCATTGTCCATGCCTTCTTCACGATCTCGTCTTTGGCCCAGTCGCTGCTATCGACGTCTATTCGCAGATGGTCGCGTTCTTCTCTCAGAGCGGCGAGCTCTGTTTCTTGAACAGTTAACTGAAAGAGAGATATAGTATAACAACAAACTACACTGGATAAAAGTCAGCATAGAAATCACAGTGTTTGAAATAGGGAATCCCGCAGTCTGAAATTAACTGTTGCTTTTGCCTCGAGTATTTTAAAATAAGTGCTTTTATGATGCCAATGGTTTATAACTTTTCCATTTTAGACAAAATCTAATATGTTTTTCCCATTGATATAAAAACCTTCAGTACTTCTGAAATTTTTGGATTACATTTTAATATAGTTTTTCATTAAAAACTCTTATGGACCTTCAAATAAAATACCACTTTCGATTGCCTATTAAAGACTGTTATGAGGTCGAGTAAAGTATCACATCTCGTTCTCCAGTTTTACCCCAAATCTATTGAGCTCTTTTTATGAATGCAGAAATCTTCAATATGGAAAACATAAATTTTTAGAAGTTTGATAGAAGAGTTGACTTGGATGAAAAAATTGTCACACACAGACAGACATCATTTTCAAATCGTCTTGTAGGAATTCTAATTCGTGCTTATTCTCTGATAACATGCGACCGAACTTTTGGACCAAAAGCATTACCGCACTTAGCTATTTATATAGGTTGGCGGGAGGTAAAAATGCAATTATTTGTTTATTTTCTTTATTTTAAAACATGTAAGACATGATTTTTGCAGAAACAGATAAACTTCAAACATTTAAAAAAACATAATTATTAGTTAAAAGTAACAGTTCACACGGAAAACTAAAAAAACACGGAAAATTAAACGCTCAAAAGAAAATATAAATACTCTTAACAAACTTCCGGACAGGGAAAAATGAAAAATAAAACAAAATAAGATAAAAAATTTTTAGTCGGACCAAAGCCAGACGTTCAAAGTAATCCTTACAGATATTTTTTTTTTTTCCATCCAACTAAATTAGAGTTTAATAATAGATATCCATCTTTTGAAAATAATCATTACACAGGGCATCGACAGAAGATTTTTCATCAACACAAAACTCAGTTTTTTATTCGAACTCGGAGAAGATGAAAGTGCCCCAATTGTCCTCCTTCGAAGATGCCTATTCTCACCACCATACATGTTCATAAGGTCAATGTGAACTTAAAGTGGCTATCGTTAGTGTTTTTTTTTTTTTTTTTTCCCATTTACAATGTACTCCCTCAACCTAAAATTTGTCCTACATTTTTTATCTTTCATACGACACAAAACAGATGGAAGAAACTGTTTATCCTTCTAGGATTTGAAATTATTACAGTAGTTACATTTTCAGTTCTTGAGACGTGCAAGGAAATAACTGCGATTTATTACGACTCAGTGTCGTAATAAATCAAAGCTTGGCTTCAAATTGTTAAAGAAAAGGGGGCAAGGATTCCGAAAACTAAATAATTTAATAATAAATAAACGCGTTTAATTATCAACGGTCGATTGTTATAACGTAATTATTAATTGTTATTACAGATGGATATACACCGTCTTCACAGATTTGCTTACCCAGCCTTTATTTTCGCAACCGTTGGTCATAAACATATACTTCCAGTTATAAAATTGTTCTAAATGAAACAAAGATTCATATTTTTATATCTTTAAATTAAAAGAAAAACGAATTCTGTATCAAATACGAAATCTGACTTTTCATACTCTTTTCCGAGCCCTATATTTATATTTAGGAAAATTTTGCCCTTGTTATAAAAAGTAAAACACCAAGAATTTCACGCTCGTGTGACAAAAAGTCACCGAGATGTTTAATCTCAAAATTTGAGATATTTGACGTCATTTTGAATTAGCAATGAGGTGTCGGTTAATAAATAAATTAGGATCATTCGAGGTTGAATTTTTCCCTTCCATTCAATGGTATTGCATTTCGTGATTTACTAGTGTCACTAATTCATAATTTTGCTACATTTGGCAGGATGTTACGTACACATTATTACATTGTCCCTGTTTACATTTGTTCATTGCATTTTTGCAATTTATAATTTTCAGAGCCTGAAAATATATTATTAATATTCTTATTATGTTCCTTTGCTTTAGAACTGCAATCCAGTATTCTTACAAAAAATTCATTAAACTACAAATATTTTCTATTTTTGATTAATTAAAGTAATTTTGGAATTTGCTTGCGTGCCGATACCGAAGCCTGCTAATGTTTTCTAGAATATGAATTCTATTAAGATTTTGTGAATAATATCTCCATCACAGAGATCTGTTGCGATGAGTTTCGCTTTGAGTTTGTGTTTAATAGTCTTAGCAATTTGAAATGGTAATTAGTGATTCTGCTCTGTCATATTGAAAAGAGTTGTACCAGTCGTTTGCGAAAAGTTCAGAACTATAAAATGTTTCTGTTGAGAAAATAAATTTAACCAAGCTATCATCGGTTCTGTATGCATTCAATCCATTACGACCCCGTACGCACGTAACAATATAACACACTATTTAACATAATACTAAACATATAAGACATAAGAAAGCATGAATCAAATTTTACTACATCTATAGGAAGAAAAGTTGATGGCGTAAGTAGTAAACGGCGAAGAAGACAAAGGCATAAAACGTTTCTGTATGAAAGGGAAATACTGTTCCGTAAAAATATTAGATAGTTGTAGTCTTTCCCCCTTTTTTTTTACTTCTTAACATCACTCTTCTCTACCTGAGAATCACTCATCACTTTTTTCCATTAGAATTTGTTTATGTGATTTGTTTCTCTCTACGTTTTAAAATGTTCCTAAAAGCAAAATATGGCACTGTCATTCCAAATATTTATGCTACGGCTTACTACTGTTTAATAGGGGTGATAGCGTTCTATGAGCCTTTGCCCCTTACCCGATTTTGCACAAATTTCGCAGATCAAATAACTGGGAACAACTTCCCTTCCGTCTTTCTCTGAAGACATCTCCTCCACTGCATTTTGGAGTATCCTTTGTTGCCTGCTTATTTGTTTGTATCGCAAAACATTTTTCATTTGGAAAATGTATTGAGCTTATTTGTTCGTGATCAATGGTTCCACTGCAATCAATTTGATAAAACATGAATTGCGCTATAGATTTACACTAGCGGCTCAAAATTTGTTAGTATTATTGGTTAATAGTTGTTCAACAAGAATGGAAAATATTTCATTCTTCAGTTCCTAATTCCGTTCTGCTTAAATATTAAAGTAAAATTATTTCTTACTTTGAAACAAAGAAATACACATTACCTTTGTGCTTAATTTTGATATTTCTTCATTCTTCTCTTTCAGAGTTTCAGTTTTTTCTTGCAGCTCTTTCTGAAGTCTTTCCAGATTAGCCGTTTCTTCGGCGACCGATTGGCAAGCGAGGCATGGCTGCAAAAAATGAAGGAATTTTTAATTTAGCAAATAAACATGTAAGTGATGGACATTAGGCAGTAAACTTATTTAACTGTAGATAAGCTCAAAGTTATTTACCCTCTTAATTAAAATCTTTTATAAAGTTACCCATTTCTTGGCGGAGTTTCATGAGACTGCTCGAGCTTGGCTGAAATTTAACTAAATGCGCGATTGAATTAGCTAACAAAATGGTTAACTACTGATGGCTTAAGTCCCAAAGCTCCCAGAGCTGAAAGAGGCAATAATACTCGCCATCAAAAGCTCTCCGTATAACACTCAAGAACTCTGTTCTCCGAACCTCATTTCCATCCTGGTGAAAGCTAAAGGAAAATAGAAGAGAAAAAAGTATTCAGTGTTGCGTTAATAACGCAGGATACTCTATACCCTTCCTTTTATTGAAACGACCATTACTTTCTGTGTTTATATGGAAAGTTGTAACAAGTGGTGAACTTCACAAATCCAAGATGTACCAGTCAGAATTTTCCAGAGAAATAGCTGCCTACTTCCATGATTTCAGACACTTAGATTTGCTTAGATAAGCGTTTCGTGCGATGTAATTACTGAAATGCGATGAGCTAATAGAATGGCCATCTTCTTTTCCTGAGTATTTACCCTGCGTATTTGTTCTTCATTGGAGTTTTTTTGGAGATATTGTCAAAGGAGAGGTATTGAGTTTAAAAAGAACACCACAGCAAACATTCTTTCATGTAATACCTCAACATACTCATTCCTGTAAGCATAGTAGTGGATTAACGATTAAGCAAAATAAGCATCAAGAAAACACGCTTACAAACGTCCATGTCTTCTAAGAGATTCGAACCTGGGTCCTTTGGTACGGCGTCAGTAATCAGCATCCTTTCTGGGCGGCGAATGTATGATGCAGCTAAACTGAGGCCATAGCGAAGGAATGTAGAGAAAAGAAGCGTAAATATAACACTCGCACAACGATTTCTTCGAGCCGACCACTTACACGTGTGCATCTTTATCTTCTCTGATTAACTACGGTTATGTTTGAAATCTATGATAATAATGAAAACTAGACTGTCATATGAATGTTCTTAAGAGATCTTAACCTAGCTCTGAGAACTAGACTATAAATCTGTTTTTATTTCATCAACCAACATGGTAATGAGGAAGTACGCTTAGTAGGTAAGGAGAAAAATTGACTGTTAGGGCGTGGTTTTTAAGAAGGAAAGATAGTTATTGACTATCATAGTTTATTTGCGAATTTAATCCGAAGTCCTACACTTCTTTTATAGACAACGTGCATTTTAAGAATTTCAGTTCAGGGTATACATTACCATATCTGGGCCCTGAGACAAGAGGTCTTCAATAAGGCTCTTGAATTCTTGCAGGAGGTTGTTGAACATACCAACTCGAACTTGGTTGGCCTGGATTTCTTCGGGGGTAGTGGAGGAGATGCCGCTGTCAACAGACACATTGTCCCTCCGACGACGAAGTTCCAGACACAGCCGCCTCAGCTGGTGGTAAATGTCGATTACTTCCTGAGCCAAATGCTGAAAGTGAGAAGAATATCGAGATTAAGAATCGCATTTAAAAGAAAAAATGGGGGAAACTTATATTTCTCTCTTTTTTCCCAGACGATCGTTAAGAGTGGCTGAGAAACGATTTCGCTTTGGTATGGATTTATGAGACTAATACAACAGATGCAAATTCAGTATAACGAAGACTCGATTAGCACTTGATCACTAAATCATCGTAAAATGAATAAATCCATTTCGCAACATTGCATGATTTCGGACCCACAATGTACCAGGCAAGTATTAGGTCACCCCATAAATACTGCAGGTTTTTTAATACACTTCTTTCAATTTTTTAATAAGTCTTTTGATTTCAAGAGCGATTAGATACAGGTATCTCTTCTTTAGACAGATGATGGCAGAAGATATCTGCCAGTGATTTTCCGAAACAAAACCAAGCATATCAAGCAATACAATTTCCCTCGCAATTAAAATGCTGTAAAGTGCCTATTTATATGTTTCCAGTTATATTATATTAAGTTAGTTAATTTTTTATTAATTTTGATTATGCTATCAAAATAGCATTGGCAAAGATGATCGCATTAAATGGCGCCTACTGTATTGCATTCTCCCGAGTGGCAACAGGCTTCTTTTATATCTCTGAGTTTTTCTGATTAAACTTGAAACACAAAAAGTTTACATTTCGTCGAGAAGCTATATAAAGCTTTCATATCTAAAAAGTTTGTTGAATTCGCAAAAAATGTGAAATAAATAAAGAGAAAATTCGAAATAAAAAATTCCGGTTTCGAGGCGCACATGCTCGGTTGGAGGATTATGTGTATTCAAAATTTGACGGTTTAAGGTACCACCGATTTTCCATGGTGGAAGGAACATTCTCAGACTCTTCATTATTTAATAAAGTAGAAGATAGGGTGCAAATGTTTACAAACACTATAACATGGTACATAATTTATTTAAGGAAATAAATAATTAAAATAAGTAAATATTTATGATGGAGTACCTTCATGTTTTCATCGCCTTCAGGGAACAACCCAGCAAACGGTAAGACTAGATCATCACATTCTATGTCATCATCCGGCAAGCGATTCTAAAAAGATAAAAAAATAAAAAATAAATAAATAAATAAATAAATAAAAAAAGACAAGTTATTAAGAAAATATAATTTGAAAAGTTTCAGATTTTAACGATTGCCTAAACGGGCTTGCTAAGGTTTCTTACTCTCTCGCTGAGCTCGTTGTCTGCTCTTGCACTCCTTCCTACTAATCTTCTTTATTTTTTCTTTTTAACTTTCTTACTAAGCATCGTTTTCTTCACACTTGCGTAACACATAGTTCAACAACAAAATCAAAAATTTGTAAAAGCTGCATGGCAGCATATAGTTAGAATTCTCGTTGTAGTGTTAAGTGTTGAATACATTTTTGTATTTTTTTCAGTCTTTTCTCAGTTGAAATTAATATTCAGTATTCATAGTAAGTTGGTTAACTTTTTTATTATTAATTTTTTATGTGTTAACTTTATTTATTTAATATTACGTTCTTCCCACTTACGCCAATATTCTTAAGAACTGTGTTGCTCTTAAATCACTCACTTTATTGCACAATAACATTCTAGATTGAAGTATCTTAGGCTTTACTGAATGGCAACATGTTAGCGTGTGGAAAATAAAAGTATTTTATTTTCGGCTGCAACACATTGCTTTCATATAGCCGAATTTGTTAATTAAAATTGAAAAACAAATTGTGTCAAGAGGATTTTGGTGAGATTTGGCGACTTTTCGCCAGCTTGGTTACATTTGAGAAATTCTTAGTTAAAGATTTTTCTGAAAGTTTATTAAATTTCATGAAAGTATTTTTTCTCTCCCTTTAAAAGCTTAGTTATTCAAAAATTTTCGGCATAGCGGATTCAGTAATTTTGTTTCAGCAGAAGAATCGTTTGCAATCAAGATCATCCAATCCATTACATAAACAAAAGACTCGGATTTCCAAAGATAGAACACATCGGCAGTACATATGGTTACAATGAGCTGGAATGTAAATAACAGAAGTAAGTGAAGTCACTTGTTTGAAAAGTTTCTTAAGTTTAAGAATACTCGCCACGATTAGCTCGACCAAGAATCCGTACAAAATATGTTTCAAATAATAAATACAAAAGAATATAAAATAGATGAAGCATTTAATAGGAAAATTCCAGTAAAAGCTGAATACACAGACTAAAAATAAAAATAATGAATGGAATACAATTATATTAATAAATTAGTAAATAAATTAGTCCTCAGAGGAAAAAACTGTGTACAGCAGAGGATGAGGAAAATATTTTTAAAATTTTCCTAATCTAGCCCAAAAATCGAGGAGGGGAGAATACGCGAGGAAATACGATATATAAGATGACCTCAAAGCGTATGCGATCGGTGCGGTCGCACCGCGCCGCAGAATTAGCACCGAGATTGAAAGTCTGATGCCGGCTCCGGATACCCCATACATATACTGGGTTAGCAACATAGGCAGGATAAACGGAACTGATGATTTGCCGCCCTGTAATTGGATCACGTGACTCATACTTACAACTAAAGACAAATACATACTCATAAGTAAAGATAACAGGGTAGGTCTGTTGTTAGAGATACGGCTCCACTAAGTCGCTTGTAGAGAGAATACTTCAGTTTTCAACTTCCAAGTAGTAACTTTTATAAAAATATGAATAGTATTGTGCAAGCAGAGCTGATCACAAGTACATTGATTAATAAGAGAATCAAAAATGCTTTTTTTACAAAGATGCTGAAAAATTTGCATCATTTAATCTTTGATTACACTTAGAGACTCTGCGTGAGAAACCTTGAATAGATTATCTATGCGTTTCATGCAATACAGTAAACTCTTGTTGAACGCAGGAAATTCACTTTCCCCAAAGTTTACTTTCGATGAGGAAAATATGTTAAACATAATTCAGATTAAGGAAGCATATATAATTTAAATACATTTAAATATTGCTATAATTAAAAAGAAAAAGCCGAAACAATTGTTAAATGAAAGGATTTTTATGATTGTTTAATAAGTAGATACATGGCCGCCATTATGTGATTGCATGAGTTTCGGTAAGTACTTTTTTGCAATTTTCAAGTTATGTTTATATTTTGTATATTTGGATATTGTGCTTTGCTTGTCTGATTTCATGCATTTTGCTTACAAACGTTTTGTTTTCTATTAATTTCAGTGAGGGATTTTTCTGCTGTTTTGTGTGTGCTTTATTATTGTTTAGTTAATTTTGTTTGATTTTCTGTATTGTTTATCATGCCTTCATCCGTTAATCGTTTCACTAAATTACGCCTGAAACGGCAAAAATTCCTGAATCATCTTGACTTTTTACTTAAATGTAAATATAAAAAATTGATCCCCAATTTTATTCAAATCAAATCTAATCGAAAACCTTCGAGTCGCGTTTCAAGAATTCTGTTAAATTGCAAGCTTGCCTTACTTCGGTCCGTCATAAGGGATACACGTCAACAATTGTCCAAAATTGAACGTGAACTCTATAAGCTTCATCTGGAACTCGCTAAATCATATCCAAAATTCACTGCCCTTGAACAAAAGTCTTGGTCTAGAACGGAGAATGCAGTTAACCGTCATAAAAACAGCCTTGCAGTTAAATTCGAAAAACTTCTTTTACAATCTTCCAGTTCAAGTAGTTCTAAAATTCTTCCCATTGTAAACATCAAGCCAATAGTTAATATTTCTAATGTTAGTCTTTCAGAAGAACAAGAGAGAATTCTAAAATATAATTTTAACTTCTCACAAACCTGTAAACCCTCGATTACAAAGATTTGGCTCCTATCGAAAAAGCTTTCAAGTTCAGTAAAGTTTCAGATTCACAGAAAGAAATGATTAGGCATCTTATCGCTCATAATGTGAAATTCAATAATAAACCTTTGAAACCAAATCTAACTGCGAGAGAAAGAGCTAAATTGCGTGAAATTCATTCTAACCCGGATATTATTATTTCAAAGGCCGACAAAGGTGGCCAGATAGTCGTCATGGATAGGAACACTTACATCGATGGTGTCACTAAACTCTTAAACGAAGGACCATATAATCCGATCTCTAAAGATCCTTCACCTTCGGACTTGTCAAAAATAAAAACTGCGATCAAATCTTCGCAAATCATTTCAGGCAACTTAAAACATTCACTTATCCCATCTGTTGCGAATTGTGCCAGATTATATGCTCTTCCAAAAATTCATAAAAGTGGTATTCCTTTCCTTTATTTATTGTATCAAATTTAATTTAGGTACTGCCTCGTATCCATTAGCTAAATATTTAGTTTCTAGATTTTCAACTCTATTAGACAATAACATTTACACCATAAAAAATTCAATAGAGTTTGTAAAAAAAGTTAAAAAATTTCTCCTAGTAATTTACTCATGGTTTCTTTTGATGTAAATCATTATTCACCAATGTCCCAGTGGAGGGTGCATTAAGATGTCTAGAAACCAGACTTCGCGAATTTCATTTCTCTTGCATCGAAATTGATGAGCTAATTTCTCTCACTCAACTCTGTTTGAAACAAACACATTTTGTTTTCCAAAATAATAATTACAAGCAAACTGAGGGATTAGCCATGGGAAGCCCCCTCAGTCCCATCCTGGCTGATATCTACATGCATTATTATGAATCAAAATTGTTTGAAACTTTAAACTTCCCGGCATGGTTCCGCTACGTAGACGATACTTTTACTCTGTTTGAAGGTAATAAAGATGATTTAAATAAAGTTCTTTCAACAATGAATTCTATTGATCCTGCTATTCAGTTCACTTTTGAACTTGAGACTTGTAATTCTCTTCCATTTCTCGACATTCTGGTCACACGTAACACATCCAACTTCAGTACTAGGGTTTACCGTAAACTTTCATCGGTTTGCCTTCCACCACACTTTAAATCATGTCATCCGACTAAACAAAAGTTAGCTTCATTTTATTCCTATGTTTTCCGTGCTCTTCAAGTTTGCTCCTCCAAACTAGCCCTTGATGAAGAACTAAAGTATTTAAAAGCAATAGCTATTGACAGGGGCTTTCCACCCAACATTATTAATCAAGCAGTTAAAAAATTCTCATCTCAACACACTAAAAAGCACACTCTTGTTTTAGGAGATTATGAAAATTCTGTTGTCATTCCCTTCTTTCCATCAATTAGCTATAAAGTTGCACATATTTTGCAGAAATTTAACTTTCGGGTTGTTTATTCTCCCATCAATAAAATTCCGAGTTCCATACTCAAGGAACCCATTCCGGATATGAATTCATGGGGTATTTATAGGATTCCTTGCCAGTGTGGTTTAATTTACATTGGCCAAACTAAGAGAGCCTTAAAATTTCGCGTCAAGGAACATGAGGCATATGTTAGAAAAAAGGAAACACAGAAGTCTTCTGTTGCTCAACATTGTTGGTCCGAAAACCACACTTTCAGTTTTTCTGCTGCCAAAATTATTCAAAAAACATCTTCCATTGGAGAACTGGATTTTCTAGAGGCATTTCACATTCATAATAATCTTTCTGTTCTAGTTAACGATCCTAATTCCAATCCAAATTTGCCTTCGGCCTTTAAAGAAATTATGTTTTAGTTCTGGTTTCACCAACAGATGGCGCCACTTGCTTATTCTTGTCCAGGCTATCTTATCTTATCTAATCATTATTTCCTATCTTGTTCATTTGCGGTTTTGCAGTTGAAGATGGTGGTTCGGTAAAACCATCGAAACTAGTCCTGTGAAAATTTTGTAACTATAACGCTGATTTTTGTTGTTTGACTTCTGAATTAGTATTTATTCGGCGTGTTATTGTGTCTTAATTAAGTAGATACATAGTAAAATCAATTTACAAAAGGTACTATTATTTGCTTGGGACAACCACCGACGCAACTCTTAAAAGTTTCGCGGTTAGAAGCGCAGAGTTTTTCAATACCTGTCATAACTGTCCTCTTCTTTCTTTCTTTGGAACAATCTCCATTCTAAAACCAGATGGATTCTGCGACTTTTTCAAAAAATCGTTAAACGTCTTTTAAGTTAAAAATGCTTCTTAATTACTCAACTTTCAGTATCAGC